TCTTATAGAACTAATTTTTTACTCCACTGATAAGTAGCATCCTAAGCTTCTGTGTCAGATCACAGACATGATAGCCGCTTTTCTGCTTCAGGGTCCTTGTCATGACTGGCACATTGCTGTGATGAAACAAGGTATGTCCAAAAGCTGAGAACATCCGGGTTTGTAGGCCCTTTTAGTTCCACTAGCCTATCTTACATACTTGTTTAAAACTCTATCTTTGAGGGCTGGGAGATGGCTCAGTGGAATAAGTGCTTGCCTGGCAAGCACAGGGGCCTGAGTTCAATCCCCAATTCCACCAAAAACAAAACAAAACAAAACAAAAAACCAAAAACAACTCTATCTTTGAGAGGGAAAATAAGTTGGACCATGTTTATTAAAAGTCTTTAAGACAATAACTCAACATTTTTATATACAAAGTCTGATAATTCATGTTTCAGAGGATATTCGTATTCAGAGCCTTAGTAGTCACTGAGCATCTTAATGGATTCTAGTGTTTTAACAGTCATAGGTATATAAATTTTCATTGTTTGTACTTGGATATTCTAAATAAAACTGATACTCTATGAAATATATTTACATGTTTACTAAAATGTGTTTAAGCTACTATGTTATTTTTATTTGACCCTAATTTACATGTTTATAGGGTCCAGTGTGGTGTTTCACTGCTTACATATACGTTGTGTAATGATCACATCATGACAGTTGGCCTGTCATGTACTTCAAACATTTTTTTTTCCCAGTGTGTTCCTCTTTATTCATTTTCGGAGTACAAACTTAAACTTGGATAGGCTGAATTAACCCAACCCACCTCTGGCAGGTACACTCAACATGCTGTGTAAAGTATAACATTCAATTTATTACTTCTTTCTCAAGAGCGTTTTCTTCAGTCCATTAAGACCCAGCTCCCCTTGCCTGGGCTTTGGTGGAGGTCGAGGGGCAGCAGCAGCAGGTCTAAGTCGGGGTGGAGGAGTTCGGTCCTTGCAGGCTTCACGAGATGGATCTCTGACCACCTTGCTGTGACTGGCACAACTCACGCAGTAGTGCAGCTCCACATGCAGCTTGGGAAGCACGCAACTGTCGCAGACACTCGCTTCGGAAATGTCCCTGACGGTGGCGGCCTCCACTGTGTTCCGAATGACAAAGTTCTTAATAGCCTTATCCTTGCGTACGCACCGGCCACAGTTCATGCAGCGAATAGGCTGCACATGACCGCGGCCCTTTTTGGCACGACCGTTTTTGGCACGTTCCTTCTTTTTTTCATCATCTTGGAAAGGAGGACCCGAAAGAGCTACCTCAAACATTCTGCGCGCGCATGTTGGAAACCTTCAAAATTCTCTTTACTATTTTAAAATGTCGCTTACTTATTGTGCACCCTACTGTGGACAGTCACCCTGCTGTGCTGTAAACCTTAGGAGTTACCCCCAGCCAGCTGCACTGCTCTACCCGTGGGTCGGCCTCTTGTCGCTCCTCATGCCCTTCCCAGCCTTGTCACCACAGTTCTGTTTTCACCTCTGTCAGGCCAACCTTGTTAGTGTCCACATGTGCAGGAGAGCATGCAGTGCCTCTCTTTGTGTCCTTGACATTATTCAATGTAATGTCCTCCTGTGTTACTACAAGTGAGTGTTTTGTTTTTAGGGCTAAATAGTACTACACTGTATATGCGTACCAT